TTTGACGGATTTTTTGAATTTGTAAGGGGATCAAATTTCGACGAGGCAATTATTATGAATTTTTGGACAAAGGAATAAAGGGAAAACATGGAACATACCACAGCAAATGTAATTGTATATGATCTACGATCTAGCTTGCTCTGTTTTTAAGATAAATTGAACAATAAAATATCTTGTGAAGAGGTTGGGGAGGGTAGGTTCTTGCGCCATCTACCTTGGAGGGGGGCACCTCTGATAATATAAGTGGCTGTCAAATGGATGTTGTTATCAATTGTTTTTTTAATGCAAGAATTATTATTACTGATTACTTATAAAATTTCATTCTAACTGGATCAAAAAGTTATGAAGAAAGTTTAGGTAAGGATAATTGATTTAAAACAGTAGTTTGTCATTAGGTATTTTGAGGCAATTGTAAAGAATATTCAACGCCTTTTAGAGCTTTCATTTTTATATTCAGCACATATTTTAATTATTTTCACTTTCTTTTAATGATTATTGAAAATGGAGATCTATGGTTTGTTTTCCCATAAAATATTCCTTTGACACTAAAAACAGAGAAAAATATTAGAAAACTTTTAAATTCACACTAACATTAATCCTTAGAACTTTGTATAACGAGTTATCTGGGTGAAATGTGATATCCCATATCGCTGGTTCTTCTGTTTAATTGAGACCAGGGAGTTCTTTCAGTTATGCTCTAAGGAAGGTGAAGAAGATTATCAAAAAAATTCCAGAACAGGTGAAAAGTAACCCAATTGGTTGGTATGCTGATGAATCTACATTTAATATGATAGAGAACCTGAACTTAATATGATGATTACCTGAAATCCTGGCAACTCTTCCGGTTTTCAAAGATGCTCCTGCAAATCCGCCTGTGCTCCCAAACTGTGTTCTATAAGATGTATATTTTCTAATTTACTTCCTTTCTCAACCAAGAAATCCACCAATTTTCCAATAATATTTGCAATGTTTTTTGACTTATATAAAACCTTGGTATAAATCTTAGTATAATAACTCCAATCTACACCTATTATGTTGTACCTCAGAATTCTGGTCTAAGAAATCTGTTAGATGAACAACCGAAAACGTATTTAGTTTCATATACTTCAGCTTAGCACATTTAAATCCAATAATAATGAAATTAAATGTTTTCATAGTATTTTTTATGTTCTGTATGGTTTTTGAGTTCATATCGTTAAGAAATCCATGAACAATAAATTTGGTCTGGTCCTCATAATTATAATTAGACGAATTTATAGCAGATGAATAATTTAGATAAAGCCTTTAAGACACCTTGGGTATTTTCCTGTATTGCAACAAATATATAATAATTGAAAACGATTATTATTTATAACATGTCAAATTGTATAATTAATCGTTTGTGCAAAGATTATCTCCAACTGATAAAGTCATATTTTAATTAATTTACGCAATCTGTGTAATATTTATCATTCTACAAGGAAAATTAGACTAATAATACAACTGTAACAAGCCATAATTTATGAACAAGGAAGGAAAAGCATTTGTTGACAATTTTTATCCTAAGCAAATCATACTATAATATTTGCGGCCTATTGTATGGGATATCCGGTGGTGAATAAATTAGGCCTTTTCTTCGTTTAAAAATCCATATGATATGCGTTCAATTGTAATCTGAACCATTAAGTACACATCCAAATATAAAGTTTTTTTTTCAACCGAAAAAGTAGTATTGTGATTATTTTTATTTACATATTCCTCTTTTGTTTATCACTAAAGATCACTGAAGAGAACGAAAGAACGACGGAATGGAGCAACTGTAGTGCTTAAGATAAAAGATATAAAAGTTATGTTTATCACTAACGATCACTGAATAGAACAAAAGAACGACGGAATGGAGCAACTGTAATGCTTAAGGTAAAAGATATAAAAGTTTACGCTGACTATCACTCCATTCAATTTTTTAGAGATAGGCAGTTTCCTCCCTCCTTCAGATCATTTTCAAAAAAATATTTTAAAATAGCAATTACGGCAATTTTAGGCATTAACGTGAAAAAGTATTTCTAATAGTTTTTAATAACTATATATTATAAACAGTGCCAGCTTTAGGGTGGGGTAACCGGAGCAATCGCCCCGGGACTCCGCCCTATCTTCAGGGACGCTTACCATTTGTTAGAAATTATTTTTGGGCTACTAAAAAAATATACAACAATGATTTTGGAGACCCCTCTGGAGCCCTCGACGATCGCCAATCTAGTCTGATAACAATGAAAAATTATGGAAAAAGGCGAAAATCCTTAAGGCTTCTTTATTTTAAAATATAATTTAAAAAGGCTACATTATAGTTATGAACCAAAAGAATAAAAGCAAATTATAAATTAATTCTTTTCAGTTAATATTAATTCAAATGGCTTATTATCGTAAAAACGTATATACCAATATTTCATGGTTTCCAGTCAACCCATACGTATTTAAATATGATATTTGTATTTACTGTCATTCTCTTAAATGGAATTCTCTGATATTTGGGTTCATGGTACAGCAGAGTCAAGATTGTATAGTATTTCATATCATAAAGGACAGTTTACATTGCCCTGAGCTCTTCCATCTTACCTCTCGCTCTTGTATATCTAAATTATGCATTTTATCTCATGATGGTGTTAGTTCTCCAAAATGCTCATCTACTGTCTATGTTGAGGATTCTCAGATGAAATAATTATTTTATCACATTATTATCTTATATTAGTATGTTAAGTTTATAACACGGGAGGAGGATGGGATCTAAGATTTTTATAATTATATTTATGTTTAAATTAAGTTATTAAAATTTTATTACTAGTTCTTAAATATCATATCTGGTTGACAGATTTGTTAAGATCATATTGATCACTCTATACATAGAAACCCGTAAGTAGCCAAGTGTGTTTGGCAATTTACGGAGATGAATGATCTATTGTCTTGGCCATGACCTTAACTGAAAAGGACTTGAGCTAAAGTAGTGAGCCCATTTGTGAACATAGTTGTTGACATTCGACGGCTTTTGGATTTTCTATTACTATTTGATCTTAGTTTTAAATTTGTAACGTTTTTATTTATATTTATTTTTCTTTCTAGCGATTGATCTCTCAAATGATCTTGAACCCAGAACTACCTTAAACTATCTTTTAGCTAGTTTAAGCTTTTCAACGAGAGAGAAAAAAATGGAAAAGAAGACTGTTGGTTGCTATGCTGTGAATTTGTACACCAATTTAGTGATTAGCTAAGTACTTATGGTCCTTAGTAGAACTGCCCTTCAGAAGTTCACTGGAGGAAGTGTAAAGTTATGGTGAGAATAATAATTGTAATTGTAGTATGTAGATATAGACAAATATAATTCTTTGACCACTAAGTATTTATATAAATAATAGGAAATCTGTTGAAATATTTTTATACAACTTCACAAGTGTCTCTTCAACATGGTGGCTGGACCGAAATTAGATGTTATTCTGAAAATGGCCAAATGTGTCCGAAAGCAGATGGAAACGACTATTCTTCATCGTAAATGGGCTGTTGAGGGTTCGTTTATTTTTTTGAGTGAATGGAAATCAAAATGTAATCGTCAATACTTGACCTTTTTTGGAATTCCGTCTGTTTTATGACCTTGCTCCAGCCACCATGTCAGGAGTGATACTTGTGAAGTTTTACTAAAATTTTTAAGTTAATAAATATTTTTTTAATAAATACTGAAGGTATGAAGTGGTTTTAAATTTTTTAATGGTTTTGTTTTTTTAAAAGAGATCATCCTCTAACAAGAATCCATTTCATACATTACTCAAGTGCAACTGAAGTGTTTGAATTAATTTGATCACAAATGCTAATGTTAAAAGTCTTACATCTCAATCTTTGAAGTTCATTTTTTGTATTAAGTTTATTTAGCTATGGGCAATCATATTTCTATTTTAATCTTTTTGTATTTATAAAGTTAATATTTTTTTTTTTTTCAACTTACACAATTGTAAGCAGTTCTTGTTTTACTTCATTATATTGTTGTTTGGTTTTCAGCAATTGAAATAGACATTTATTTCAACATTAAAAAATATTTTTCTTTGAATTTTAATTAATTTTCAAATTTTATTAATTTGTGATATAATATAATATTTTTTTTCCAGCACAGTGTGGTCTCAAGAATACAGAACAGTCCAAGTAAACTACAAGTTGTATAAGGTATTCATAGAATATTTATTTTAGTTTAGTCTAGATTAATTAATATATATAATATATATTTTTATTTAAATGTACCTAGTTTTTTATCTTATTATTATTGTTTACTTTATTTATATATTAATTTTTATTTACATTATTATTATTATTATTTTTCATTTATTAATCTATTTTTGTATGTAGGTATTTTATTAGTTTTTCTTACTGTCAAACAAAGGAATGGTACTGAAGTTAATAATTTTAATAGTATCTTTAGTGTGAAATATTGTATAACCAAACCATGAACAATTATTATGTACATATTTGTAAATTGTAAAATATCATTTAAATAAACTTATTATTATATAAAGAAGTGTATGTGGGTTACAACATTCATATGGAGATCAAAACTTTGCTTGACGAAATGCCATCCATAATCGTTTTAGAGGAAACATATCAAATGGTAATCATTCATATTTATACTAAAAACAAGTCTTCCTTCAAAAAGAAAAATTCTTGCTTCCCCGCATATCTTTCATAATACTCATTCTCTTAATCATCCATTGCACTTTTTCTCTTAAAAAGTCCAACTGAACTTTTACTGGGCTCAATACTGTTTCATACCACAATAAATTGCAATAAAGCCAATAACAATTAAAATATTTGTATGTTTACATAAAAGAATTATTATTATAATTTTTAAAAACTTAAGTAATATAAAAATTTAATTACAATGAAACAATAATTTTCAATACTTCACATTTAATTTTTAAAAAATTTAATACACAAAAAAGAACTCACATTTATTATAAAATTCATATATATTATTATTTTTTTTTTAGGTATGTAGCTGATTTCTAAGTTCTTGAAAAGGATAGTTGGAATTGATGAACTACACTGCTGTTGGAAAAAACATGGCATCAATGCGAATGAGGCCATTGACGAATAATTCACAAATGAAACAAGATATCCTCTCTTGTAAAACTTCTTCAGTTGAATCCACATCAGAAAAATAAATCTTTTCAAGACTCCCAATTGGCGACGTGCAGTCATCAACTATGTAATCTTAATCAGAAGCCTGGAACCATCCCTGAGAAGCAAGCAACACATGTCTGGTTTCAGAACAAAATTTTGTATACTTTCCAATATGGATGAAGAACTTCAGTAAACATAAAATCAAGAAAATTATTCATTTCAAGAGAGTCATTAAAATTTGTCATTTCATTCTATAGTAGTAATTATTCATTTAATATAATTTCGTATTCATTATTGTAATTATTCATGTAATTTATTTGTTGTATTATTTATTGTAATTATCTGTCATTTAATTGTTATATTCAGTATTGTAATCATTCATGTAATTTCTTGCTTATAACTGTGATAATTATGCTATTGTTATTGAAATTATACATGTTATTAAATATTTGTAATTACTATAAAATAAATAAAAGAATGTTTTAATAATTATTTCATCAATTTGAATCATTTTCACTTATGTACTTATATTCTTTAAATAGTAAATATATCTCAAATGGGTAAAATGTAGTGTAATGTAAGTAGTTATAATTATTTTTGTTAAATCATGTTTGTCATTTTGTAAAATACATTATAAATAAACTTGTGTAAAAGTTTTATAAATTACAACCCAAATTTATTATTAAAGAATAACTTTTGGACTCCAGTCTGGTGTTTTTTCTACCTTCCTTTTCTTTGATATTAAAAGAAATGTAATAAAAGTAAATTAAGATAAAAGGAGACATACAAGAAGTTAAATATGTGTATCTCTAATATTATTTATATTTGTGTCTCTTGTATTGTCTTTATCCTTAGCTTGCCTATTAACTTGTTTTTTATTTACTTCTGTCTTTATACTAAACACATATCTATATCACTTGTATATCTGATATAATTTCATCCTTGATGAAGACCTATGAGTTTGCATTAAAACACTGGCTTTTGTAATTAAATAATGATTGAAGTTAGTTTATTTACCTCATGATATACATCACAGTCAATCAACTAAAATCAAAATATACTATTGGGTTAACTAAAAGGAGAATATAATAAGATTTTAATTGCAAGCTGGTGTCAAAATTTGAAATAACATAGAATGATAAAACCAAGAGTGGTTTATTCTCAACGAGCACGAATAATTTAATAGATAGAAAATGAAATACCATTAACAATTATAACTAAATGTTTTAATTTGAATCAGATATACATTAAGATATTATAAAACTGTAGGTAACAGTACATACAGAAATAAGCATCAAAGTGTTTGATTGCTGAGGAAGAAGGGGGAAAACTATAAAGAACTCTTCACAGGAACACATTTATTTGTTTTCTTTCATTATGTTTTAACATAATTTAAAAATAAATAACAAAACTATTACATATCCATAATATATTTATAAATACAGTTCACTGTTGATTTCACTAGATCTCTTCATTTTACACACAATGTATACTTATTAAAAACTCGCGATAAATAACTAAACTAAATTCTGTTATTTATAATGAGAAAAACATTACGAAATAATGTATTACTTAAGATATAAGAAAATCGGACACTAATTATAAGGAACGCAACAATAAACTTTAGTAAAAAAATAAATCAGAATTTATTAAACACAATTTTCACTTCTTCACACATTATGGTAGGTTTTGAAGGTCTGTCCCGTTAAGAATTAAATAATTAAACAGTGACTCAATACGTAAATAACAATTTTATTAACCATTGATAAGTTAAAACGAAGATCGAATAATAGTTTCCGAAACTGAATGGATATAACAGCCTTACTGAACAAATATTTTGAATAATAGTATTGAAACCTAATAAAAGAGAGCAGCACCATCCAATAAACGTTTACAATGCACTATTAGTTTTAAAAACCGCTAAAAGAGTGCAGCACCGTACAGGGAACACGAAATCGGCATTTAGTTCTAAAAGTTGCCGCAAGGTAACAGCACTATCCAGGGACTATTGTATTGAACACGAAACTCGTACGTAGTTGTTAAAACAGCCGCAAGAGGCCAGCACCATCCAAGGAAGCATCGAAATTGTAGTTCTAGAAGCCGCCGCTAGATAGTAGCACTACAAAGACTCCTGGTCGACTCGAAAAGTGAGCTCCTGTGGCTTCCTAATATCCTAATAGAAATCGACGAGTTTCTCGCTATAAATTCGAATAAAATTCGTAGTTCATATGCTATGCCAACAGATAGCAGCACCATCGGTATCAGGACTGCTCCGAAATGATAGCTCCTGCTACTTCCTCTTCTCCTGATACAAAATAAATTTTTTCAATTCAGAATATTGTGTTGGAAACTCTCCTGGGGCCATTTTTTTTTCTGTTTCTTGCTTATTCACGCTCGAAATCGATCAGAATATTTAAAAAATGTTAAATAAATTTAAGATAATTCCTTTTTTTCCTATTTCACCCAAAAATAAGAAAAATAAATACAAAACATTAAATTAAGTGTTATTTTAACCATTTATGAAATAAATACTTGCTTTTCTTTCTTTATATTTATTTCTTATATTATATTATGATTTCCTTGTTTATTCATGCTCGAAATTGATCAGAATATTTAAAAATTGTTAAATAAATTTAAAATAATTCCTTTTTTTCCTATTTCACCCTAAAATAATAAAAATAAATACAAAGCATTAAATTAAGTGTTATTTTCTCTATTTATTAAATAAATACTTACTTTCTTTCTCTATATCTATTTCTTATAATATATTATGATTTCCTTGTTTATTCATGCTCGAAATTCATCAAAATATTCAAAAATTGTTAAATAAATTTAAAATATTCCTTTTTTTCCTATTTCATCCTAAAATAAGAAAAATAATTACAAAACATTAAATTAAGTGTTATTTTCACCATTTATTAAATAAATACTTACTTTTCTTTCTGTATATCTATTTCTTATATTATATTATGATTTCCTTGTTTATTCATCATCGACATTGATCAGCACATTTAAAAATTGTTAAATAATTTAAAAATAATTCCTGTTTTTCTTATTTCACCTTCATATAAGAGAAATAATTACAAAATATTAAATTCAGTGTTATTTTCACCATTTATTAAATAAATACTTAAATTTCTTTCTCTATATCTATTTTTATACTATATTATGTTCCTTGTTTATTCATGCGCAAAATTGATCAGAATATTTAAAAATTGTTAAATAAATTAAATATAATTCCTTTTTTTTTCCTATTTCACCCTAAAATAAGAAAAATAATTACAAAACATTAAATTACGTGTTATTTTCACCATTTGATAAATAAATACTTACTTTTCTTATAATATTTATTTCTTATATTATATAATATGATTTACTAGTTTATTTATGAACGGAATCGATCGAAATATTTTGGAATGTTTTCGAAAATTGGAAATAATTCTTTTTTTTTCTTTTTCATCATAAAACAAGGAAAATTGTTATAAATCTAATAATTAAGTGCTATTTTAACCATTTATTAAATTTATACTTATTCTTTTCTTATATCTATTTCTTGTATTATATAATATGATTTCCTTGTTTATTTATGCTTGGAATAGATCGAAATGTTTTAGAATTGTAATAATACTTAATTAGAAGATTTGTACCAATTTATTAAATTTATACTTCTTCTTTTCTTATATCTATTTCTTTTATTATATAATATGTTTTCCTTCTTTTATTTATTTCGGAATATTTTAGAATTGTAATAACACTCAATTATAAGATTTGTAATTATTTTCTTGTTTTAGGGTGAAGTAGGAAAAAAGGAATTATTTTAAATTTATTTAACAATTTTTAAATATTCTGATCAATTTCGAGCATGATAAACAAGGAAATCATAATATATTATAAGAAATAGATATAGAGAAAGAAAGTAAGTATTTATTTAATAAATGGAGAAAATAACACTTAATTTAATGCTTTGTATTTATTTTTATTATTTTAGGGTGAAATAGGAAAAAACAGGAATTATCTTAAATTTATTTAACATATTTTAAATATTCTGATCGATTTCGGGCGTGAATAAACAAGAAAGCAGAAAAAAATGGCCCAGGAGAGTCTCCGACACAATATTCTGAATTGAAAATCTTTATTTTGTATCAGAGAAGAGGAAGTAGCAGGAGCTATCGTTTCGGAGCGGTCCTGATACCGATGGTGCTGCTATCTGTTGGCAGGACATAGGAACACTACGAATTTTATTCGAATTTTAGCGAGAAATTCTTCGATTTCTATTAGGATATTAGGAAGCCACAGGAGCTCACTTTTCGAGTCGACCAGGAGTCTTTGTAGTGCTACTATCTAGCGGCAGCGTCTAGTACTACAATTTCATTGCTTCCCTGGATAGTGCTGGCCTCTTGCGGCTGTTTTAACAACTACGTACGAGTTTCGTGTTCAATACAATGGTCCCTGGATATTGCTGTTACCTTGCGGCAACTTTTAGAACTAAATGCCGATTTCGTGTTTTCTGTACGGTGCTGCTCTTAACGGTTTTTAAAACTATCAGTGCATTGTATACGTTTATTGGAGGGTGCTGCTCTCTTTTATTAGGTTTCAATACTATTATTCAAAATATTTGTTCAGTAAAGCTGTTATGTCCATTCAGTTTCGGAAATGTTATTCGATCTTCGTTTTAACTTATCAATGGTTAATAAAATTGTTATTTACGTATTGAGTCACTGTTTAAATGTTTAATTATTTAATTCTTAACGGGACAGACCTTCAAACTACCATAATGTGTGAAGAAGTTAAAATTGTGTTTAATAAATTTTGATTTATTTTTTTACTAAAGTTCATTGTTGTGTTCCTTATAGTTAGTGTCCGATTTTCTTATATCTTAAGTAATACATTATTTCGTAATGTTTTTCTCATTATAAATAACAGAATTTAGTTTAATTATTTATCGCGAGTTTTTAATAAGTATACTTGTGTGTAAAATGAAGAGATTAGTGAATCAACAGTGAACTGTATTTATAAATATTATTATGGATATGTAATAGTTTTGTTATCTACTTTAAATATATTGTAAAACATAATAG